GAGGACAACAAACGAGGGGCTGTGACAAACTGTTTCGTCGGAGTTTCACCGACTCATCAGGAGGCTGAACCCTATATATATATATATATATATATATATATATCGTCAAATATATATATATATATATATGTCGTCACATGAATATCAGAGCGCAAAGGCGAAAACAAACAAAAGAAAAAAAAAAAAAAAAAATTGTTTTTTTTATCTTTTTTGTTACAACTCTCCCTGTTCAGAACCTCTTGCGTACAAGGCCGCTCACGTGGATGTAGGGTGAGTGGCGGCTGGCCCCACTCCCGTGTGTCATATCGACCCACTTGCACACAGCCAAATGGGAACAACCAAACACAACAAAACAGGGGGCAACAAGCAATAACACAAAAAACGGATCATAAATAACAAGTCCCAGATGTAAGCACCGCCCCTCGTTCACAGGCTAAATGACAGGACAAGACCACCCATGACAAAACTCCTGCAAAAAAAGAAAAATCCCAGATTACATATCTATGTACAGCAGATGGCCTAGGTATTCCCACTTGTAAATCATTCTTACTTGGACAAAAAACATAAAAGACAATCTCATATGACGATTCCCACATGAAAGCACCGCCCCCTCCCACAGGCCGAACAACGGGAAGCAACCAACTAGGATGCCAAGACAATACAAGAGAACCCGGATGACTGGTCCCACATGAAAGCACCGCTACGCTCGCCGAAATAGACCAAACAACAGGACCAAACCAACTGGGATGCAGACAAGGTTACCAAAACAAATTCTACCATATCCATGGTAAAAACAACGGAACCATACAGTAGGTCCGCAAAACGAAATACCCATAAATAGGGAAGAATAAAGCAAAAAAAAGAGAAATGGTAGCAAGAGAATTAAGAGAATATTTTCTACCATAACCAAAGAAGAACCTGCTATATATATAACCACAGGGCTGGGAGGAGGTCACAACCAACTGATGATACGCAAGTTATTAGTTGGCTTACTTAGGGGCTAATAGGTGATTGCTTGAGCCTGGCGTCTGAAGTTCCCGTGCGACGAGGCTCGTTCGACTACCCTTCCACCAGGTTAGGTCACTAGCCCTGGTGCCTGTCACTTTTGTTAGGTCCAAGTTCCCTTCGATACTGGTAGGGTAATGGTCCTGAGTGGTGGTCACACTGGGGTAGGATAGTAGGAATAGGGGATGCGCTAGGAGTATTGACGCGAGGATGGGATGAGAGGTAGTCTCGTCTCTTGGGAGGTAGTCTCATCTCTTGGGAGGTAGTCTCATCTCTTCAGGGCAACTATAGCTGACTGCTTCTGGCGATCAATGTGAGCCTAGCAACTGGCCTCTACAACACCCTGGAAAAAAAAGGAGATCTTGGGTTCATTTCCCATTGGCCTCATGTACCTTCCTGGGCAAGCTTGGCGCCCGCCACCTAGAGATATGCCGTTGTCCCCCCGAGTGGCATTGAGCAGAGACTGCTCTGATGTTCATAGGGGGAGGGGACCGGGGGCTACTGTAGGTCCCACTTGCACGAATTAAGAGATAGAGACCATAGATAGCCGAGATCAACGGCCGAGATCTCTAAATCCGTGCAAGTGGGACCTTGCCCCGGAGGGGAGGCACAGTGACTGGCCCAAAGAAGCTCGTCCTTATGCTACTGGCTGATCCCTGGCTGGTATCTCCAACCTGCTGTAGCAGGTATCGCACCTGCTGGTGGGTGCAGCTCCCGCATGTTCCCTCATTGGAGGCTTGAGTACGGATGTGGTTGCTACAGGGTTCCCCGTAATACTATATACTGACAATAAAAAAGGCCTGAAAGGCCGTCCTGTCCAACCCAGATTCGATAGGTATTTGAATTGGTTGGGCACCTTTGTCGGCTCGGAAAATAGCGGGCCTCCGACCTTTCAGGAGGCCGAAACAAAACGACGGCCGCCGATCAGATTTATCAACGGCAGCCGTTGTCGGGCCTGGCCTCCTAAAAGTTCGGGAGTGACAAAAAAACAAAGCAAATTGCCTGCCATGAAGCAATACCCCCCCAAAAAATTGCCTGCGTCACGCTAGGACTTTTCGACTGAACGTAGCAATTTCTACGGCCAAGTACATCCAAAGAAGGCCGCGGTCATGTCCTTTCTGATCCACGTCGACGACGGCGGCGACACCGATTGGTCACTGAGAGAACTCGACCCGCCGAGCTGGAAAAGAAAGATAGGCTTTCGAAAAACGAGCCGCTGACCTGGACAAGGGATGATGAGCAGGTGAAAAAAAAAAAAAAAAGAGCACGAAGAATGAGCAATCCCTGA